AAAGGGATGGATTTCTCAAGCATTGTCAAAATGTCTTGCAGGGAATTACCAAGTGCAATGAAATCAACGCTAAAACAACAAATAATGATAGTGGCTTTTCCCTACACATATCATAAGATACTCCTTAACAGCATGTGGCCTTTCTTCAGTAAAATTCAATAGAAACAACATGCTTGTGAGTACATTACAAAGTTTACACCTGCAGTTAATATTTATTTTAAAAAATATTTTTAAAATGAAAATTAATACAAAAAAGCTTATAATGGACACAATACCTGAATTTTAAACAGAGATCCTGATGTCGTACTTCACAACCTTGTCTTAGGTGCCTCTTCTAAATCCCAGCTCTGTTTCCATTACAACTTTATTTATAAAATCAGGAGCCAGCACTGGGCTGTAGTTTGTTGATTTTTTTTTTAAACAGTGCACTGAAATTTTATATTGATTATTGAGTTTTTTGGCAGCTGCCTTACATTTTTGGGCCTGAGGTGAATTCTTCACTCACTAATCCTACTCCATGTTCTGGTCTAAGTACCACTTCTTAGTAATTTATTACTTAATGATTTTACTTGCTATTTTCAATCTCAGTGAGAAAATCCATGTGCTCTCTCTCCTCCTTACCCCAAACCCCTCTTTTATCTTCTTCTCTACTAAGCATTGAGAATTACCACCATGCCCCTAACCATGTAACACGGCCACATGTATTACATATTATTACAAACATATTAGTACAGAAAATACTACACATTAGTACAAACAAGGCCGTATTTAGAGAAATGCCCCAAACCTTAATGGTCCTGCCCTAGTTGGTTTGAACAGCAGAAGGTTTGGGCTTATCTAGAGGTTCCCTAGAAAATATTTCCATAATTTCCAGAGTGCTTGGAAGTACAACCCAAATGTCCTCTAGGCACTAACACTGCGTAAGTGCCAAGTGAGGTCACTTTCCCTCTGGAAAGCTATGATGGAGTAGAAGGAGTCTTACTGTGGATTCTAGGAGAAATACAGAAGTGGGTCAAGCACAGTTACCTTCAGGGACCTTAGTGACTGCAGGGTTGGGAATGAGAAATGGGTGTAAAATAATAATCTTTCATTGGGTGAGCATTTCATGTTGAAGTCCATTTTCTATGTCATCTCATTTAATCCTTTGAAAGTTACATTTTAAAGATGTTATATGAATCATCACATTGAATCCTCATAAGAAGATTTATGATGTAGGGATTGTCACACCTATGTTACTGATAAGGAAACTGAGGCACAGATTAGCTTGCACAATCAGGTAGTCACTAGCATTTCTAGTGTCTTTTCTCCTTTAACAATAATGAATTTCACACAGTGCTTTACATCTTAGAAGGGATTTTCATATATAGTTTCTACTTTGGTCCCTTCCCTACACCTGTGAAGTAGGAGAATCATATTTTCATTTGCAACAATAAGACACTGAAGTCCACAGTTAGCAAGTGACCAAAAAAAAAACATTTTTCTGATTCCAGTACTATATGCCTAACAGTTTGCTGGTTTTCTTCTAGGAATTCTTTTTCAAAACTCTCAAGCACTGTGTATAAGTTTATTAAAGTCTATTTCATGTTTAGACTCTTTAGGCAAACATTATATTTAGCTCTTGATGCCAAGCTCAAAGGTTACTTTCAGTGCTAGAAGAGAGTCCTCCATTTGCCTTCCAGAGCCACTGTCTACCTTCCCACACTTTTCCATCCTGCACGTCACCCTGGAGGCCAGCTTATGGGCTACACCAGGGGTTGGCAAACTTTTGAGATGGAAAAGCCAATCCTGTCCCTCACAACAATTAAAAAATTATTCGAGAGCCATAAATAGATTTTTACATAATCACCATTATGTGAATGATATCCTTTAAAAATTTTATGAATGAAACTATGATAGTTTTATTTTCATTTTCAATTTTACTTCAGAGCCACATGTACATACCCAAAGAACCACATGTGGCTCGTGAGCCGTAGTTTGCCGACCCCTGGGCTACACCAGGGGGTCTCTCTGGCTTAATGTTGGATTCACTAGGAAAGCAGAAGGAGAGAGAAAAATGAGGTTGCGGCTCCCTGGTTTCCCCACTCGGGGGTTACCTCAGGCCTGTTGTCCCCACCACCAAAGTTCAGGGTTCCTTTCAAAGGTGACCATCTCTACTAGACTTTGTACCACCTTTCAGACGCAAGGGATGGAACAGCACTACTGCCACTTGCCAGTTTATTGCAGGAACCCTTGTGTTTTCCTATACTCCACCCACATCTCTGTAAATGGTCTCTGCTAAAACCCTAATTGAAATGTGCTCTTCTGTTTGGATCCTGACTAACACGGCTCCCCTGTGAACTCGAATGAAGACAGTTAGAGCTAATGAGACCTGAATTTGAATACCAATGTACCAGCGCTGTGCCCTGAGAAGGGTCTCAGTGTCTCAGAGGCTCAGATCCTCACCTCTGAAATTCCACTAGCAGAGCTTAGCAGGAGTTGTTCATTCCTTATCCTACATTCTAGACATAATTGTTAAGCCCCCACTACATGCCGCAAAGGGGCTGCACAAAAGAAAACAATGCCATCACATGCCTTCCCCCAGAGGATCCACATTCTGAATGGGACAGGTAGATAACAGAGGCACCCAGTGCTCTCTGTAAGGGTACCCGCAGGTCTCCCCCAAGAGGGGGATGGTGAGCACTTAGAGAAAGGATTTCAGAAGTGATGATAACAGATATGAGGCCTGAGGGCTGAAAAAGGTATCTTAAGTTCCCACAAACCCAACAATCTCAGGTCCTCACCCTTAGTCCTCTTCTAAGAGCTCTCTGTCTCTGTGAACAAGTCCCACCACCCACGTGCACAGGCCAGAAACACAGGAATCATCCTTAGGATCCTTTCTCCCTCACTCCCCGAGGGAAGTCAATCACTACTGTTCATCTTACCTAAAATGTCCTGAGAATCTGTCTAGCTCACTCAGGCTCACCCATGAGCTAAAACAAACTACTGCCATCACTCAGCTGAAAATTATACAATGCCTCTCTCCACACCCACTTGCCCACCACCCTTTTCCACCAATTCAACCTCTATAAGGCAGCCAAAGTGATCTTTGTAAGATGACAATCTGATCAGGTTAACCTTCAGTCTTTCCTTTCATTTCATTTCAAACTAAAGACAGCAGCCCTTTAACAAGGCCCACCATTACAATGTGGTGTCACTTTTGCCTCCCCATTCTCATCCCAGGACTCCCCCATGGAATTTCTCTCTTTCATGGCAACTTTGTCTGTATGTTAATGGAATAGTCATTATTCCGTAAACTTTTATTAAACATTCATTTTGTGGCCTCAAGTTTAAACTGTTGGCAACATGAGGACATGGACATGAGTGTCGTATTCTGTTCATCAGCATATCCTCAGCTCGTATCATAGGACCTGGTGTAGACTATGAACCCAAAAATGATTTAAGGATAGAAACAAAATGCCAGAAAGAAAACTATATGGCAATGACTGTTCCAGATAAATAAAAGGGCTGCCATTAAGTATACTTCATTTTAAAGCATTTCTTAAAATATGTTTTCTTTTCTGCCTAAGAAGACAGAGTATACTGGAAATAACTCAATATTAACTGAAGACTCTGAGTCTTTATTAGACATCTTAATTATTGGACTTTCTTTTTAACATTGGCTGGCTGTTGACATCTGTGCTTTTCAGATTCCTCAGCCTACATGTCACAGATTTCCTCTCTTTGCCTTCAGAGATAACAATGTCCTTTCTGGCTACTGTCAGGTGCCTGCCTCTCGCAGCCTCTTTTATGCTTTCTAAGTTGTTGGTTTGAATCTCTTGTGGACTAGGAAACCAGAAAACCAAGCTGGTTGGATTGCGTGTGGTCAGAGCGACACATACCACATGAGCCCCAGAGCATTCATCTAAACTCGAGCCAACAGCAGCCAGTATTTCTGCATACCTAAGACCAGCCACCCGCGTCCCACTTCTACACAATTGCTTTGCTTCTTTCTTTGTTTTGCTCTCCATTTTTCTCTTCCTTCATATCTGTTGTTTGGCAATATTGACCTTTTATAGACTTGCCACCAGCTAATAGAAAGTTCTCTCCTCCCACCGACTCCCCATCGAGTAGAAAACCCACCAATATGGTAGACCTTCAGGGTTTCAATGCCCTCATTGGTTTCCACTGTTTTTAGGTGTTCAGTAATTCATGTAAGAGTCTACACCTCTCCCCCAGTCTTATGCACAAGCTCAGAATTGGAGAATTTTTTCTTGGATAATGGGGTTTTACTCTAAAAAGACTAATACCAAAGACATCAAGCAGTTATTTGAAGCACGTGACAGTTTTAGCACACAAATCATGCCTGGGTATCGGTGACAATGACTTTGTTCCCTGCTTCATCTCAAAGATCCTCCTTTGCTTTCTACCCAATTAGAATATTAATTACTTCCATCTTGGGTTAAAGGAAAGCAGTGGGATGTCAAACTGCTTATTATAAACCTAGGAATAGTTTTGCTGGCTGTGGAGGGACACCAAGCCAAAGTAAGAGACTGGCACAGGGAATTTCACAAGTTCAAAGTAAATGAGAAAGTGACACCTTTCATTTCGATCTTGATTTTAAGCACTTGGCCCTTTCAAGTTGATTGCATGCTTTAAAAAATGCATTAAGGGAAAGCAAGGAGGATGAAGGGGGAAAAAATGGAATAAAAGAGATTTTACAAGCCAGAATCAGGCTCTGATTTAGAGGGCAGCTTCTTGAAAGATTTTAAAAACTTGGTCTAACACTGGCATTTGTAGAGCCAGCCACAGCAGCCTTTGTTATTTCAGGCAATTACTGCCCTTCCCCACCCTCTCCCCCTCTACCCCCCCACCGCAATGCATATGTGATGTTAATGACAGGTCAGGTTAATCAAAGGTGAACACAACTGACAGTACTGTATCTTCCCTTAAAAAACAACAACAACACAGTTATTATCACAATATTTTACATTCTAGGAAGAGGCAAAAACTCACCATTTGCTCAGGGCTGGAAGACATTCTGATGGGAAATGAAGACGCCAGCAAGAATCCAGGTGGCTGAGCTCATCAAACAGCTTGGCTGTGCTGGGGGCTCAGAGTCGGACACACTTATCAAGGGTGGCCCGGTCCTCTTGCATCTGCGGGATCAATGGAAACCATATAGCGACTCTATAAGGTCAGCTCACTGTAGGTAATTTTTCACCCAGGGTCATTTGAAAACTGTTTTCCACCCAAAGTGCTTATTTGGCTCTGTCTTAGAATGAGCTTAACAATTAGGCTTTTTAAGAAGCTATCTTGTAACAGGCAAAGCAAGGCATTAGCAGCAATAAGCATGATGAGAATGTAGGCACAGGGTGTAGAGGAATGAGTCCCAGACCCAGAGCAGGAGACCTGGTTGCTACTTTCATTGTATCATTCACAAACTGCTCTGTTGACCTTGAGCAGTGTCCTTAAGCTTCTGGTCCACAATTTCTTCAACTTTAAGTGACAGAGTTGGGCAATATTACTTCTAAAGTCACTTCCCACTTATTATAAGAATCTATGATTCTTCAGGAATTTTCTGAACCTGAAATCTTATGTTTATCATGGTTTCAGATGTTGGGGAGAAGACTGAAGCATAAAAGAAATCCTGGTTTTATAGTAGAAAGAGTGCTAGACTTTAAGGAACAAGTAACATGTAACTTCCCTAACCCTCAGTTGACATTTCTGAAAAATGGGTATAACAATAATGTACTGCTCAGGGTTGTAAAGGGAATTTAGTGTGTGCCTAAACTATTTCTATAGATCTTAATCTAATAAGGCATGCCCTAGTCCCTCAAGGACCTCACAGTATTTTGGGTGAGTGGGAGGGGCTAAGGCTGACAAAGAGAACTATGATTTTCAAACTTTAAGAAACAGATGATTCACCTGAAGATCTTGTTAAAAATGCAGGTTCTGGGGTGGAACCCAAGATGCTACATGTCTTACATACACCCAGACCAGATTTTAAGTAGAAAGGCTATAGAAGAAACTTGTTTAAAGCAAAAATACTATATAATAAAGCATGATACATGCCATGACTGAAAGCCTCTATCCCTTTTCACATACCTAACTCCTATCCTCCCTTCAACACCACTTCAAAAAATACATTTTATCAATGCAGCTCAGACTATCACAGCCCTCTGTAAACTCTTTCTTCTTAACATCTGTTAAGTCTTACTATTGGCAACTGTGCTGATGACCCTAAAATGCGGGTCTGCTAGCCAACTGCACCAGAATCACAAAGGGAACTTTTTAAAACACAGATTCCTGGGTTCTACTCTCAAAGACTCTGAGTCATTAAGCCAGAGTAGGTGGGAAGATGTAAGAACCTGGGTCAGGACACTGGATTTAAATAACTTTATCGGGCGATTGTGATATTGAATTGGTTTGGCACCAAGCACTAAGGAGGTGGTTCTCAGCCCTGGCTGAATGTTAGAATCAACTGCAGAATTTAAAAAAATAGAAAGACTCAGGTCCTAGGCCAGCTAATTAAGTGCAGTCAATGAGAGCATCCTAAGTGGTTCTGATGGGAGTCAACTTGGAGAGCCACAACGCCGTACTCAAGTTTCCTGGTGAAGGCAGGGGCCATGTTGCCTGGTTTACCATTCTCTCTCCAGGGCCTAACACAGAACCTGGCATTCAACAAATATTTCTTGAATGAATAAATGACTAATAACGGATGAACTAAAATAATAAAATTCAGGCTGTCAATTATCTCCTTAAACTCTTGGCTGCCACCCAATAACATTATAAGCACTAGAGCATTGGGTTAAGGTTAAGTTCCGGGCCAAATTGCCTGGCTTGGAATCCTGACTCTGCAACCTTTGGCAAGCTTCATAACCTCTCTGTCCCTCAGTTTCCTCATCTGTGAAATGCGGATGATACCAATCTTACCTGCTTCTTAGAGTTTTGGGAGAATTACATGAGTTAGGACATGGAAAGTATGTAGAAGAGTGCCTGGCACATAGTAACCACCTAAAAATTTATAGCTATTTTTATATTCCATCCCTGAGCACATAGTTGTTCTTATGGTTCTGCAAATTGACAAATCATTGAGCACTCTCCAGTTAGTCAACCAGTAGATATTTCTTAAACATAATTTCTATTGTAGACACAAAGAGTATATTACTGTAGATATAGCAGCAAAAAAAGGAAGAGAAACAGGGCTGCTCCTATATTATTTAAAATAGAGTGGGTGAGGTGTACACTGACTAAGCTGCTTTAAAAATGATAAATAGGAAGTTATTTTAAATGTATTGACCATTACAAAGGAAACAATCATAAAGACATAGAAAGAGGGTAATAAGGTAACTGCATAAGTCTTCACTTAGCGTCTTCAATAGGTTCTTGGAAACCACGGCTTTAAGTGAAACATGTATGAATCCCATTTTCCCCTAGGCTAGTAGATGTAAACAAGAGTTAAGTTCCTCCAACATAGTTCTGATCACAGAAACATCACTGAACTTCTTAATGAAGACCCCAAACTCCTCTAATATTAGACATTGAAATAAATGTGAGCTATACATACGTTCAAGAAAGATTAATAAAACCAAGTAAGATAATGACTTTCCAACCCACTGATTCCAGTTCAGGGTTGAGAGTGGCCAGAGCCTGTCCCCGCAGGAACCCACCCTGGACAGGCCGCCCTTCCATCACAGGGCACACTCACACCCACACCCACACTCACTCTGACAAGGACAATGTAAACATGGCAGTTCACCCCCCCTCCCCCTGCCGTGAGCATCTTTGGGATGCGGAAGGAAACCAGAATACCTGGAGAAAACCCACTCAGACATGGGGAGAGCATGCAAGCTCCACACAGACAGTGGCCCCCTCCAAGAATCGATTTTTTTTCTTAATCAATGTTATAATGAACAACATTAAATGAAACAGCATTATTCAAGGACCTACTGTACAACAATATATAACAGGCAATCAACTTAATATTGTCCATCAGGAAAGGCTTCCTGAAGAAGGGATGTTCAAGCTGATTTGATTGAGCAAAGGGAGGAGGAAAGTTAAAGAGCATTCCAGGCAAAGGGATCATTGAGAAGCACAGAAGAGCAATGTATGCTTTAGGCCCTGCAAGAAGGCAGGTGTGGCTGGGACACATGATCAGGGAAGGCTTTGGCAAATATGGGAGCTTAGATTGGAATTTGAGGGACGGATACTATTAAGAAGGCAATGAAGAGAACAGGAGTAAAGACAGGAAGGTGAGGATAAACGTGGCATGCATGCATGCATTCATTCATTCATTCATTCATTCATTCAGCTTCTACTATGTGCTTGATACTAAAAGATAAGCAGTAAGTGCAAATAGAAAACATTAAGAAAAGCAGTAAGTGGGGCC